AGACTAAGGACTTGACTTCTAACATACTAAACGATCAAATCTTCAGAAGCTCAGATTTAAGCTGAAAAGGTAATTTTTTCACATATGCAGAAAATACAAATAAATACATACATCCAACGCTCTCCTTGTCTAAAACCCCTCCCCTATACTGATACATTGAAAATATTTGGAATGATTTTTTACAATAAACCTACTTTTAAGCAGAACTGTCATTATGTAAAAGTTGACTTTGGGCTCGTAATTTATGGACACTGCGCAAAAAAACATCTTAAATTGCTAGAAACACCTTACTATGTAGCAGAGGAGAAAAAGCATCCGTGCATTTCCCACCTCGCCAATAAAAGCTATCTCTCACGTCGAATCCTGCTTTCAACAAAAAAACCGATGTAGCAAGCAATCACCTTTATTTCGTATATTAAGCTACATCAAAGATTTCGACATCATCCGATGCTTACTAAAGTAAAAACTCTACCGCAAGGGCATTTGCCCAGTTTGATACTCATAAATTACCTGGGAGCTTATTTTCACAGACGGTTCCAGATATGGTGGTAAAAAAGGGCTGGGTGTTACAATTGTCTTCAGTGCTTTTCCCCCGTACTGCTCGGCATTTACAGCCGAATCAGCTGTACGTTTCGCCTCTATAAACGAAGGAAATTTCCTCATCTGAACGGACAGTAAACCAGCCAGCGAAGCCTCTTTTAACAGTGCTAATGATTCTCATATAATTTCGAAATCACGTGAAATACTCTTGACACAAAAACACATTTAAAATTATGTGGTTACCTGGGCACATCGGAATAGAAGGGAACGAATTTTCACACCTATGATTTCTGCATTAAAATCTTAGTTTAACATAGTATTTACGTCTAAAGAACTGACATTTTCATTATTCTGCAAAACCCTCTATCAGCAAATTTTTCTATATAAATAGTTATAATTCGAATTGCAATAACCTCTATCTGATCTTTAAACTAAAATTAAATGAATTAAAAGTAAAAAACTAGTTTTAGTATATTGCGTGAATATTTAAGACATGCGTGTGTACTTAAAATTATTAACACTTTTAAAAACAGCTGCCAAAACAGTTTTTTTGCTCTCCTGAAAAATTGAGTTTTTGCAGATAGAGGGTATTGAATATAAGCCCTCGATATGTAGCTCTGCAGCTCCACTTGTAAAATTGATCCAATACAAAAGAGAAAAGGACTTTCATTACAAACTGTTGAAAATAAAACGGGGCGTATTCATGGTCAAAATAAAGTCGATACTGAAGGTAGGTTCATCCATGATACAAAAAACAAGGTAGTTCCATTGTCACTTTTTCGTCGCCATATTAACAACCTGACAATTAAGCAGATTGTGACATTTCGTGCTACCATACCCAATATCTAAAATCCTTCAAATTTTCTTATTAATTTTTTCTCGATTTAAAAATCTTTGTTCTTAAGCATAGTATTTTATTCCTATTTCACGTGAAAAAGCTGTTAAATTGCACGTAAAATTTGTTTCTCTGAAATTCCACAACATTTCCTCGGCAAAGTAGTATTCTGTTCACGCTGTGAAAAATCTTGCAACATGAAGCTAGCAACACAATTTTCGTGACATTTTTAAATACACGTGTACATTTTAAATTGTGTGAAAGCTGACAGTTTATAGAATTCAGTAGCGGCGAAAACAAGGGGAGGTAAGTGGTTAACCTTACACAAGCCGATCGTAAAACTGGCGACGCAATTTCAGCTTATGCCTGTTGGTCTTGGCAAGAATGTAATCTCTCAAGGTTTAGCTTAAAATGGTTCCAGGGATACACCCTGTGATCATGTAATTTTCCGGAAGGTATCGTACCCGTTTTTCTGTACATATTTCCATTGGAAAAATACCTCATCTCAGTATTCTAGGTAAATGCTTCCAGAGGTATCTATGCGACACCATAATTTTAGTTTATATGGCTTATACCGCTAGCTCTTTACAATGGCTACGAGATCGTTTTCATATACCCCCATTTTTCATAGGTTTGGGATTGATTTCATTTACCTCTATTTCAAGTTCTACGGTGGCACGCTGCATTTTCCAATAAACCCATATTTTTCCATGAGCTTGAGATTGACTTCATATACATACGTATATCCATACCAAGTTCGAGGACTCTACCATAAATACTTCCAGAGATATGTACTATGAAAAATTCGATTTGTATGGGAGGTTCCACACCCCCTTTAGATATCGGTTTTGTTTTAGCCTATAAACATTCTTGGAAAATTTGTGTCCGAAATTAAAAAAAAAAATCGGTATAGCCGGTATGGGCATTGCGGCTCCTCAAGGGAAATGAACTAATGATTGCAAAAAATGAAATCAAACGTCGTAGTTGACCAAAAGAGAACATTAGACTTCATTCTCTCAACTTCTCAGAATGTAGTAAAGCTAAGAAATATATAATAAGATAGGATATATTTAAACAGCCTCCAGAACATTTACCAAAAGACGCCCCTGAACTACACAAAACAGTTTGATTGAAAATTGGTGTTTATCTATTTATTTTATACTTCACTTTTGGGTGTGTCAAAATTTCTTGTGAAAACAATATGTGTTGCTGGAAAAATTTCACCACCCATGAGTCCCAAGGTGAATTCCATTTGTTGTTAAATGGACAAAGACAATATGTATTAAATAACACATCGAAATGTATGATTTCAGTGTCTGAATTATATCAGAATCATCGTATCCGATATAGAAAACTACATTGTGAAATAATCATGAGGACACTAAAAAAAATTTAAAATATGTTCACTGAAATTGTATTAATATTAAAATAATGATTTGGCAAGTTGTTATTGAATTTAATGTAAAATTTAAACGTTTTTAAGATAAGATATTAATTATTTTTAAAAGGTAAATATTAACACAACTATTTTATTTATAATCCCAAATTTATTATATAAAATCTCCCACATCAAAAAACTTACAATTGGGTAACGCCGCTTCGAATTTTTCACAATTGAGCAATTGTCAAAAATCTGCTTTTTAATCAAAAAGTTGTTTATTGAAACTACCTTCTTTTTTGTATCATTGGTTCATCTTTTTGACAATATTTCCAAATACATAGTTTAACGTGGAAGTATCACACAATTTTATAATCAACGTAAATGATCGACAGTTAATAGTTTTAAGTATGGCTGACCTCCAAAAAGTCAATTGCTTTGCATACGTACAAAGTATAAGGTTCCATAACGTCGAACTACAAAATATTGAGAATGTATACTGTTCCAAAACGCATGCGAAAAGTTATCGAAACGCATCGCTAGAGCAATCAGCGCATCAGAAACAAAGTTGATGCTTCGTTTGTTATTGGTTAGCATTGGTGTTTTAGAAATGAAAAATTCAGAAAAATTGTGCACTGCTATATTGAATATTTAAAATATGCAATGTATATGGTTGCAATGTGTCACAAATCTGCATATACAAACAGTTTGAATACTGCAGTATAACAGTTTCCAAACATTGTATTGATACGTTTTAGAAGTCAGCCTATATATCGTCGCTAGAATAATGAAATAGTGTAACATGAAAAGTATAGTTTTGAGAAAAACGAACTGGATGTTTTTATAAACCATTACAAACCATACAAATACAATTTCGTTTTTCGGGAATATATTAGTGAGCCAAAGAGATATTTAAGCAAACTAAAGATTTTTCTAATGGATTAAAGGATTGTCTATCCAATAGTGCAATTATCGAATAATAGTGTATGTGGCATTTACACTGGTTCTTTATTCGAGCGACGATATAGTTGTATTCAAGTTTTCTCACTATATCTAAGATATTTTTCTTCATTTACATACGTATAAGTATGAATGTGCATTACATGATTTTTTGGTTATTGACAATAATAAAAAGTAAAGGTATGAAACCAAGTCAAGTTGTAAGTTTTTTGTAACTTGATACTTTGATACTTTAAAAAAAAAAATAGTGATACATTTGATCTATCTTTTGTTGTCGCGGCAACACTGGTTCTCATATAGAAATTATGTTTTGTTATAGCCCATAGGACACGACTGTACTTATAGTTTTTCTCCATCACTTCGCTTATTACTTCTTTTCTAACAAATATAATACAACTTTGGTATTCTTCAAATTACAATTTCCAGAAGTTATAACTTTGTTGTTTTTTGATCGAATTAAAAATTTTCTTCTCTGTTTGAATGATACGAGTTTTACTCTCTAACAAAGAAAAAAGTTTGAAAATCGTCCGGAGAAAAGCTTAGTATTGGTCTTTTAATTAAGAAAAACGCAAGTTTTTCATAGAATTTTCATTTCCTTCACGCCCCTATTTGATCGCGATACAATAAAGAAAAATTATTTGATTTTTATAAAAAAGCACATCAAAACTAGTTTTTCAAATGTCATAAGTAGGGCCCGGATTTGTATGCACTAAAAAATCAAAAATATGCACTTAAAACTCCAAAATATGCACTAAAAACAAACAAACTATGCGAAAGGATTTCTCGCATTTTTTTTGCTTTTTTAATTTTTGTTATTTACTTTTCATATTGTATTACAAGTTTATAATTAACACAAGGATATATTGCAATCTTTAGTGCCACGAAAAACTTAAAATTAATTAAAAACATATGTTGGCTTCATATCTGCCAGTGCACATATGGGTTAAACGCACTGCTGCCAACCTTTACAACTATACCATTGTAAATGACATTTGTTCTAATTCCTTCCTTCTTGCTAAATAAAAAAACGAGCGACTATCAGCAGAAGCACACGCGTTTTTCATTTTCCAGTTTGAAACTCTTGGTAATATTAACGTACATTATTTTGGTCCAACGAACCGGATTCCGCAGTCGGGACTGAAGCATATCTTTAAACAATCCACTTTTATAATTTAACTAATCTTAAAGTCTCGCGACTGCACGACGTAAAAAGCCCAAAAATCGTTGCAACGATTGCAGCACCTACATCGTAACCTGCAAATTTGAGGTTACGTTGGACACGTGATCATGACGGTCAAACTGCGCGATGCAGCGTTGAAGACCATCAAGAGATACTTGGCTGTTTCCATCAACGAAGCCAACGGATTCAGTAGCTCAAAAATTGAAGGCTACGTGAAGCTTCTAGAAGAGCAATGGGCAAAGTTCACGGAGGCACAGGATGCGGTAGAGGTTTCATGTGGAGTCGAAACGATTGATGCTGAAGAGCAAGCGCGTGTGCAGGCAGAAGCCTGGTACGTGGAGGCGCTTTGTAACTTCAAGCAAGTGCTTAGTCAAACATCGTTGCCTATCGCCAGTACACCCACGGCAGTAACACAGGCTATCGAGACGTCGACTACGGCAGTGCGCCTACCCAGAATCGAGCTTTCCAAATTTTGTGGTGACTCAACTGGGTGGATTCTATTCCACGATTCGTTTAAGGCATTGGTGCACGATAATACGACGCTCTCAGGCTACCAGAAGTTGCACTATCTTCGCAGCTGCCTTCAAGGCGAGGCGCTGCAGGTCGTCTCTAACCTAACAATTTCGGAGGCAAATTACCATGTGGCTTGGGATCTGATTTGCTCAAAGTATAAGGTGATGCGAATCATCGTTGATAGTCACTTTCGCGCAATATTCAACATAAAGCCAGTTACGAACGAAACAGCACAAACACTTAAACACGTTCTCAATTCAATGTTGCAAAACATACGGGCTTTGCAGGCGCTTGAACGGCCAGTAGAGGCGTGGGATGATTGGGTAGTATATTATCTGTTATCTAAACTTCCACATGAAACCCGGAAACAGTGGGAGTTGTCATTCACGAATGATAAGCTGCCTACATTCAACGACTTGCAAACATTCCTCGAGAGCCGGTGCCGATCGCTAGAGGTACTAGCACCTGGTAGTGGCGGACCAACCAGCAAAAGGGGCAGTAATGCAGCCGTGTTGCATGCGGCAAGTTCATCCAATCGAAATTCGCCTCGCCACACGCAATCTTCAAGAGCCGATTCATGCACGTACTGCTCTTCTCAGCACAGAATCTACGCCTGCAGCAGCTTCAAGGAGCTAAGCCCGCCTGCTCGAGCACAAATCATCAAACAAAGGGAAGCATGATTCAACTGTCTTCGTCAGGATCACAAAGCATCAAATTGCAAGAGCACGTCCAATTGTTTGAGGTGTGGTCGCCGGCACCACACGCTACTCCATGAAAGCTACAACAACACGAATAGCCCTTGCGAAACATCAGCAGCGGCAGCTGATACAGCATCATGCGCTGCACCTGCACCCAACCGGGTGTCTAGCGAAAAGCATACTCATCTAGCAACTAGTTCTCTTGGTCCTGTCAATGCGCTATACCGAAGCCACGACAGCGTCCTTGCTGCGCTGCCGACGTCAGCGCTGGCTTCGTCACAAAGGGCAGCTGAGCTCACTACTCCTGCAGGGAAGCGGGAGTCTAATGGAGCAGACATCAATTGTAATAGTGCACCAGCTGCACCGTTACCGATAACAGAGTTTCCACCGTGCGGCACATCCGCATTCTTGTCACCTGCTAAAGACCAGGCCCCCAACAGAGATGTTCAACAAGCAACAGTATGGTCGCAGGGTGGCAATATGACATCACACTACGCCGAAGCAGACAACGCCATATTACTGGCTACCGCAGTAGCCAATGTACGTGACTACGTCGGCCGCTGGCACGCTATGCGCATACTTTTCGACAGTGGGTCGCACGCTTCATTTGTCACAGAGCGTTGCGTACAACAACTACGTCTTCCAAGAAGATCATCAGCTATCTTGATCACAGGCATAGGCTCTACGCCAAGCGGTAGGCCAAGGGGTGAGGTACTCCTTACTATCGCGTCATCGCAATTACAGCCGTCTTACGTCATCAACGCCTTTATTTTTGCCAAAGATAACTAGCGATCTACCTACGACCTGCGTGAGCGTCGCAGATTGGCAGCACATCAAAGGACTTACACTGGCAGATCCGCACTTTGCCACACCAGCTCCCATCGACATACTCATCGGTATGGACGAAATGGAGCATTTTCTGACTACTGATCTACGCAAAGGCCCTCCTGGTACACCCCTGGCTCAGCGGACAGCACTCGGATGGGTTCTCTTTGGACGAACCAGAAATCCAACAACTACTACACACGCGGAGGTCCCGAGCCTACATTGCGATGTAGATCTTGTTAAGATTTTAAGCAAAGTTTGGGAGCTTGACCAGGTCCCGCATCGGCAACATCTCACGAACGAAGAAAAGTTCTGTGAAGATCTCTTCGACTCAACACACCAACGTGCGGCAGACGGGCGTTTCATTGTGCAGCTACCTCTAAAACCTTCTGTGCCTATAGGCGAGACCCGTTCTGTCGCATTACGCAGTTTTTACAGGCTTGAGAAGCGATTAGCTGCAAACGAACACCTACGTCGGCACTATGTGGAGTTCATGCATGAGCTGTTGCGGTTGGGTCACATGGAGTGCGTCCGTGATAGACCCTCATCCTGTTATTACATGCCTCATCACGCGGTATTAAAAGAGACAAGTGAAACAACAAAATTAAGAGTTGTGTTCAACGCATCGATGAAATCCTCCTCAGGTTTTTCGTTAAATGATGCATTAATGGTTGGCCCACCATTACAACAAGAATTATTTCCCATTCTATTGCGTTTCCGTATGCATCGTTATGCCATGACCGCCGATATAGCGAAAATGTACCGCCAAGTATATGTTCACGAGAAGCATGTGGATTTCCAAAGAATCGTATGGAGAGATGCGCCAACCGAAGAACTGAAAGACTATCGCATACTTCGTCTCACTTATGGTACAGCTGCTGCAAGTCACTTGGCTGTGAAGGCGTTGCAGCATAACAGGGCAGAATTTCAGTCCTCTGCGGAAATCATTCTACGGGATTTCTATATGGACGACCTCCTTACAGGAGCTCATACCGCGGACGAGCTTGTGTTGCGTCAAAGTGAAGTATCTCATTTACTCTTAGAAGGCGGATTTGAGCTGAGGAAATGGGCCAGTAATTGCAAGCAGCTTTTGGATAAGATTCCAACATCCACAACGCCGATAAATCATTTGTTAGCTGAAAACGGGGAAGTGAAAACGCTGGGGTTAACGTGGAACACGTCTCACGATTACTTGACGTATGCGGTAAGTCTTAAGACACCTCCTACTATACTGACCAAAAGAGGTTTCCTGTCGGATGCCAGCACTACTTTCGATCCGCTCGGTCTAATCGCGCCTTGCACTATAAAGGCGAGAATTTGGTTTCAGCAGATTTGGCGCACTGATGTCGATTGGGACGAACCGGTTTCCGATCAAATAGCGAAAGATTGGTACCTTCATCGTGACGAGCTTCGATTGTTGTCTAACCTTAAATTAAACCGTTGGCTGGGTATGAGCCCAAATGCGCACACCGAATTTCATGTATTTGCAGATGCTTCGGAGAAGGCGTATGCGGCCGTGGCCTATGCACGTACTAAGTACTTAGACGGCAAGATCGTGGTCAATCTAGTTGCATCCAGGTCGAAGGTTGCTCCGCTGAAAACTACAACTTTACCCCGACTGGAGCTGTGCGCTGCTCACCTGGGAGCAAAACTCATTAAGCAGATCACCGCTTGTGTGTGCTCGCCAGAAAGTCGCATGTTCGGGTGGACAGATTCAACTGTGACATTGGCTTGGCTACAAAGTCACCCTAGCCGATGGTCTACATTCGTGGCGAATCGCGTGGCGGAAGTGCAGGAAATACTACCCTCCGAATGCTGGGCGCATGTCAGATCCGAAAGCAATCCTGCCTACTGTGCCTCCAGGGGTATGTCGCCATCGAGTTTGCTGTCACATAAGTTGTGGTGGCACGGTCCATCGTGGTTGTCGTCATCTAGCTACGTACGACATGAGGTCAAGCGACAAGATCACATCACTCAGCTTGAGTTGCGTAAGAAAACTGCTGCCGTAAATGTAGCTGAACCATCGCAGCAATGGACCCTTCTCGAAAAATGCTCCTCATTCTCGAAGCTGAAAAGAGTTACGGCCTATGTGATGCGCTTCATCGACAACGTGCGCAGTTGCGCGCAAACAATGCCTCGCAAGCAAACAGGACCCTTAACCAGCAAAGAAATCCAAGTCGCAGAGCTAAAACTCATAAGGTACACTCAAAAGTTCTACTTTTCCAATGAAATTTATCTTTGTAGCGCCAAAAAGCCACTTCCACGACGTAGCAGTCTTTTGCAGTTACAGCCGTTTGTTGATAAAAGCGGTATCCTTCGTGTTGGAGGCAGTCTGAAGCACTCCAATGTGTCGTCTGTCGTAAAACATCCTGTAATATTGGCCAAGAGCTCTCCACTGGCAAAGCTAATAGTGGCAGATATTCACAAATTTACTCTACATGCTGGTCCTCGGATTATGCAGGTTGTCCTGCAGCGGCGCTATTGGGTTGTTGGTGCACGCAGTTTAATTCGAAACATATACCATAAATGTGTCAAATGTACCTTATTAAACCGTAATACAGCTCAACAATCAATGGGGAATTTACCCGAAGCTAGGGCTACATACGCTCGTTGTTTTACCCGCAGTGCAGTAGATTTCGCTGGCCCTTATGTGTACAAATTTACACATGGAAGAGGAGCGAAATCCATCAAAGGGTATATATGTTCTTTCATCTGCATGTGCACTGGGGCCATGCATCTAGAGTTCGTGGGAGACCTGTCGACGCCCGCTTTTCTCAACGCTTTTAAACGGTTTATAAACCGCAGAGGCTTTTGTAAGGTCATGTTCTCGGACAACGGCACAAATTTTGTGGGCGCCGAAAAGCATCTGCGCAACAGTTTACAACAGTGCATGACTGATGACAGATTTCGGTCATTTTTTAGCGATCTGAACATTGATTGGCGTTTTAACCCCCCAGCCGCACCCCACATGGGTGGCTACTGGGAGATTGGCATCAAACGTGTTAAGTACCATCTGAAACGTACATTAGGCGATACTCTCCTGTCATACGAGGAGTTCAATACGTTATTGACTGAAATTGAAGCTTGCGTGAACTCTCGGCCTTTGTGCGACAACTCAACAAATGTTAGCGACTTGGAGGTACTCACACCGGGGCACTTTATAGTGGGCGAACCCCTGAAGTGTCTCCCAGAACCTGAGGATCAAGGGTTCAATGGAAACCTTCATCAGCGATGGCAATTAATTTCCGCAATGAGACAGGATTTCTGGCGCCGATGGAGAGATGAATATCTCGTAGGCTTGCAACGCCGCGCCAAGTGGTTCCGACCGTCCCGCAATATCGAGGAAGGAGATGTTGTTGCCGTCTTTGACAAGCCTACCCCGCCGACAAAGTGGACGCTTGCAAGAGTGGTAAAATGCCATCCTGGAGACGATGGTCTGGTAAGAGTGGTCACGCTGCGAACGCCAGATGGAGAATTCGTACGGCCCACCGTGAAACTTTGCCTGCTTCCTACCAAAGGAGATTTGTTCTCCGAGGAGAATTTGTAGAGCCTTACTTACGAATACATATCCATTTAAGATAAAAATTGCCCTTTTTAAAATTAATAATCTTTATTGTAATTTCTTTCTTGTTGAACTTATCCAGGTAGTTCAAAGGTGGCGGTATGTTGGCTTCATATCTGCCAGTGCACATATGGGTTAAACGCACTGCTGCCAACCTTTACAACTATACCATTGTAAATGACATTTGTTATAATTCCTTCCTTCTTGCTAAATAAAAAAACGAGCGACTATCAGCAGAAGCACACGCGTTTTTCATTTTCCAGTTTGAAACTCTTGGTAATATTAACGTACAACATATCTAAAATTGTAAAATATGTATTAAAAAATTAAGCACTTAAAATGAAAGTAAAAAATTCATTAGCAATAAATTAAAAATACATACTTATTTTGCATAATTTTTATTTTTTTAATTTGCTTTGTTTAGGGCTTTATTGGCAAATAAGGTAAATAGTTCTTTAAAATCTTTAAAGTTAAAGCTTTCCCTATTGGGCCGCAAAAACGTTTTGTATAAGCAGAACGTTCTTTCTACGTCAACACTGGTGATTTGGATTGCTATGAAGCACGCTAGGTTACTGGGATTATAGCTATTAAGCAGGGATCACACGATTTGTACATTTGTACAGATTTGTACATTTTGGCAGTCACATAGTGGCGTTGTTTAGAAATTTGAGTTCAGCTAAATAAACGAATTTCCGAACAACACCACTCTATAACTGATTTTTCCTTGATTTTTTGCCCAAGTTAAACCATAATGGTAGTAACAGCAGTCTCCACAAGATGCACTTGTTCAGCGAATGATTTTTTCCTTCCAATTTAGTTATTATTTCCGACAAGATGCTGTAATTTGAGTTTTCAAACATTTTCTTTTTGATGCAGAAGTGCCCCTAGAGTAGGGTTACCAGATTCTAAAATGTAGAAAGGAGTACATTTCTATTCGATTGAAAAAAAGCAGCACAAACATAAAAAAGGAGTACATTTTTTTTTTTAAATTTTTTGTGCAATTTATTGATACAAGTTACCAAAAAGAAAATATACATATGTATAATCACATATTTGAGATCGTTTTCATTAATTAGGTACAAAAAAAAACAAAGATATCTTAGATATCTTTTTACAAGCAACAATAAATGTTAAAAATAAATAACTAAATTTCACAAAAGAATTCCAGACTCTGCCAATTTTTAATTTAAGCCTTATAACTAATTTAATATTTTTCTGATTTTTATACCCGATCGCTCTGCATCTACCTGTCTACGACTTTGCGTACTAAGAGCCGGTTGCTCAAAGCCTGGTTGACATGACACTAATCTTCGGTTAACATCGTTATCGACGTTTTCGACTCCATGCATGTAACATGGTGTCGGTAACGACGATAACGATGTTTAACCGGAGATTAGTGTCAACCAGGCTTTGAGCAACCGGCCTTAATAGTGTTCGTCACAATATGAATAGCAAAGTACACGGCGTAAAATAATAACTGTCGCACAGGTCCTTTATAGATTTTGCGAAAAAAAAGTATTTTGTTGTTAACTTTGTAAATATTTAACTTTAGTTTTATTAATTAGTTTTAAAATTTAAATTCTTATTTGCGTTTGCCAGCTTCGGGAGATACTTTGGGAGACAATTACATGTCTTTTTCAGGTGCATTTTTTCTTAGACTTTGTATAAAAAAGAAAAAAAAAACTGTATAGGGTTGGTCGAATGAATGGCCTCCTAGTCACCAGCTCCGAGCCTATTCGATTGCTGAGGCACCAAAACATAACTGCAGGTGGCATAACTCCAATTTTAAATTTTGGAATTATGTCACTCCTTGTACAGTGACAGAAGTCAATTTTTTATCCCTAATTGGGATAATCTCACTTTTGAGCCTAAGGCAGAGGTTTCCAAACTTTTTTTCTAGTTTTGGTGGACCCCCTGGTGCTGTATTTCAAACATTTTCCCAAAGTTCGTCAATAAATGTGAAGATTAGATGTTACGATGGAAATTTGCATCGCGGCTGAGCTCATAACCTAAATTGGGAGTGGCGAAAATAAAAATGGTATATGTTCTTGTGTTATATTTATTAAAATATTGTGATAGCACACTTGCAAGTTTTAAATAACAGAGCTCTCACTCCGAGAAGTCACATGTTTTAAGACCACTCCGATCGCTAGCGTTATTTACATCATCTTCACCATAAACTCCTCACATGTTCAGCTCATCCATGATTTTGCATGTGGCGTATTTGTAAAATAGTTTGCATTATAGTTTGCTTAGCGGCCCATCCTTCTTTGCACGAAAAACCTGTGCGCCTAACCGAAAAAAGCACTTAAGCGAATTTTCTTTACTACTTCAATGAGGAAGGTAGAATGGTATCTAAATATCTATATAACTACATAAAATGATAGCCGTTTTCGTTGTTCTGAGATAAGCAAGTTAAATTAAAGTTTGTAAAATTAGTGTAAGTTAGAGCCGGTGCAGGTCAAAGCAATACTTTATTTGATAATTGATAATAGTTGCACAACTTTTAAGGCTGTTGAATGCATCTATCGGACCAGTTTCCTTATAAATGTTAAAAATAATGCCGCTGATGCACATTTTGGGGTAGGTATCTTAAATGCGCACTTAAGCATAAAGGCAGCAAAGCAAAATATACTGTATTTGTGTTTTTGTATGGCATCACTTTTATTTTTATCGCTCCGGGTTTTAAAGTGATGCGAAAAATATGTATCACTCACTGCTGCTTTAATGAGTTTATCAACGATGAAAATTGCTGAGTTATGAAAGTTATATAAGCAAAAGAGACAGAACGCTCTTTTATGAGAAGTAATATTTTGAGTGGCGTGGTAGTAATAAATTTTGTAACACAGCGCTTTTTCTTTTTTAACTCACAAAAGAGGAAGTCAAAATTGCTTGCTTCTGAATTGAGTTGTAGTGAGGAGGAAGATGGAAGTTTTAAAACAGCACTCAGACTACGTGCCATCCATTATACAGTTTTCATGTCCCTTTTGATGTTTGTTAAATCTGCACGATTTACGAATAAACCTAAGCAGATTGTTGGGTGTCAAACAGCTCAGATGTTCGTCTCTCAACACTTCGCGGCCAATTGTCTTTATACCTAATTCTTGCAAAAGCGGGGCAGAAGAACACTCAGAGTAAAACAGGATGGTTATGTTTACCAACATCGCACACTGGGGCCGCCCCATATAAGCGGGTGGTCAAAATTCTGGGATCATTTTCTTTCCATTAGACTCGCTTGAACTACTTTTTTAGAGTAAATTTTTGGCGTCTTAACCCATTACTGATCATGCATTAACCCATTGGTGACCCAGTTTTTTGTAATATCTTATGTTAAGTTAATTTGATTTTATTATTGTGCAAATTATGAATAATTTAACCCATTTACGACTTTGACTTAACGCATTGATGACCATATTTTAACCCATTAGCGGCCAATTTTTTATAGAGTATTTCTCCAGCTAATTTTATTAAAAATAGGTAAGTTTAGGTTACAATATAATCAGGAAGAATGAGTGCTTTCGATTTGAGGGGAGCTTTATCTATGAATTCGTAGTACTTAAAGCTAAGTTAAAAGCTATAAAATGTAATAACAGTAACGAAGTGTGTATTTGTTGTAATCACTACGAAAGAGCTTGAAACAGATGAAGTCATTTATATAGAGATCAGTTAGATAGTAAAAGATAGGAATAGCATACTAGATACGAAAATTTACGTTTCAATGTTAAACATAACTAGTAGACCCGCATGGCGTTAAGACGCCAAAATTGAGTTTAATATTTTAAACAGATGGCAACACCATTCACAAACCTTTATAAATATTGCAAATGTTTCAAGTAAATTCGTCCATCCCTTTTTGAACGAAGAGAGGTCTCAAATGACGTCGGTTTTCCATTTCCTCAAAATTCAAACCACCGTGCACCGCTAAAAAAGGTTGTAGCCTCAAAAAATAAAACCTTAATGCACATTTAGAATGACGGTGCTGATCTGATGACATATAAACCCCCCATTAGTTATGGAACCCGATTTCATCATGTGACTGTCTTCGCAGTAGCGCATCCTGTTAACCGAGTTCTTCAAGACCTTGTTGATGGTTTCTGGCTCTATCGTAAGAAATGCCCGATATACGCATTAAAGGCCTGAATAGATTGTTCGCATTTTATCGGTCCTTCACGGCATGGCACAAAAAAGTCTAAGGGCGTGAAATCGTGTCTTCATTAACATTGTGTGAAAGCAAAATAAATAAGGCTTTTCAAACTGGTGGCAACCTTCTGCGCAGCACTTTCAAACTGAAATCTTTTAAAGCTCTTTCGTTTGATACTTTGATAAATAATTCAATTACCTAAAGAATTCAATTGAATTAAATTTTTTTATCACCTGGCAACTCTCCTAAACAGTTCAGATACAAATCCTTCTCAAACCCATGAACGATTAAATCACCTCTTTTAGTAATTTATTTCACTTAATAATTCATTTAAATTAAAAATTTTCAACAGCTGGTAACTCTCTTCAAACCATCAAACGAAATTTTGATGTTTAAACTGAAGATTTCTTAGCGCTCTTGTGTTTAACACCCATATTTTAATACTGCATATAACTAAATTCGGCTTTTAAACTCCTTTAGTCTGGATCCCTGTGGGGGAACATTTTGTAAATTACCTATGTAATTTTCCTGTTTAAAATTTAATTAGATTTTTTAAACAGGGGCAACACTCTCACAGTTAAGTTAAGAAGCAAAGCTTTTAATAACGATTTTGACTGATACCTATGGCAACTATTTTCAAAAAGTAAAACCTCATTGGACATCTGCAACCAAGTCTTTTAATTTGACACCTCATTTTTGAAAATCGAGCGAAGGATGGGGATATGATGGTGTCGATTCACACATAATCTCAACTTGATTTTTCAAAAGGTGGCCATTCTTTCCGGAAAAGTAAAAGCCTACTACACATCTACATATCGAGCCCTTTAATTTGATTCCTCATTTTTGAAAATCAAACAAATGGTTCAGATCTGATGACCTGGACAAAAAGTCCTTTCGCGTATTATATATATAGATATAGTTAAATTCGACTTTTTAAGCAGGTGGCAGCCTCTTTGAAAAGTAGTTTCGCGCTAAGATATTCTTAAATACTCTTCGTC